TTATTATTATTATTATTATTATTATTATTATTTGGTTTTTCGAGACAGGGTTTCTCTGTGTAGCTTTGGAGCCTATCCTGGCATTCGCTCTGGAGACCAGGCTGGCCTCGAACTCACAGAGATCCACCTGCCTCTGCCTCCCGAGTGCTGGGTTGGAGTGCGCTATCAACACCCAGCCTTATTTTTCTTATATTCAGATATTGTGTTACTTACCTTTCTCAGTTCTGTGACATAATACCTGAGCAGAGGCAACTTAAGGGAACAAGTATTTATTTTGGCTCGTGGTTTGAGAGAGTACAGTCTGTTGTGGTGGGGAGGCATGGCAGCAGGTAGGTAACCTGTGGTGCAGGAGTTTAATTTTCACAGAACAGGATGCAGAGAGCAGATGGGAAGTGAGGTCGGACTGTAAACCTCAAGAGGTCTACTTCATCTTCCGAGTCTTTGCCTCCTTAAGGTTCACACTTTCCAATATAGCCCCACCACTTAGGATGTGAGCCTGTGGGTGATAGTTTACATTTTAGCTACAGTAGATATTTTTAAAGAAAATGATGTATTATGAAAGGTTTGAAAATTTTCCTTGATGTTAGGTGTACCTGTTTTCAAAAGTAGCCCCCCCTCTCCCTCCCGATCTTTTTCTTTCTCAACAGATTGGGTATCTGAACACTTCATCCTATCATATGTGGATCAGATCAGCTGTGTTTATAACTCTCCTGGACCAAACAGAATATGTTAACCTCTCAGCTGCCCCCAAACTTTCTTATTGTCCTTGTCCTCTGTCATGCCTCCATCTTTTGTATTTAGTCGGTTACCAAACTTGTCAGTATTTAGTGTAGCATTTCTACTTTATTGACAAGAAAACAGACAAGATAAGGTTAAAAAAGTGGCCAACATTGTGAAGCTAATAATCAGCAGAGATGTGACTTGCACTCAGATCTAAAAGATTTAATAGTGCCTCCATGCAGTTCTTTCTCTGCTTGCTTGATGACAAGTCGAGGGAGATGGTTTGTGTGGGTCAGCATGCTTAAAATTGAAAGTGCATATTAATAAAATTAAAAGGTTGCATTAACTTGATATGGCAGGTTCTTAGGAGCATGCAGTTTATAAAACCTGTAATTTGCTGATAGTTTCTTAATGATTCATTTTGTTGTGTCTCTGGGCAGCAGAACATTTTGCTGTCTAGTTATAGAAAGCTTGTTAACTTGAAAATTTGTTAAAATGGGCAATGCAAAGCTGTTGTTTCTGAAATACAATTTATAACAATAAGATATTGATTGAATGAGATCCTCATTTTCTTGCACTGAAAACAGGTTTATATCAGATTGAGAGAATAAATTTGGTTGGTAAATGAAGATTTTAACATGTGGATGGTTCTCACACAACAGCAGTGTCTAAGCATGCTTTAAGAAGGAAGATTGGTCTGAGAGATGGCTCAGTGGCTGCAGGTACACCCAAGGGTGATGAGCTGTTTTTGTTCCCTAGGACCCACATGTTAAAGTAGAGAACTGACTCCCTCATGTTGTCTTCTGGCCTCTGCACATACACCTTCCCCACCACAAGTGCACGTACACACACACACACACACACACACACACACACTCTCTCTCTCTCTCTCTAAACATTTGTAGGTGCCTTGATAAGGCATGTTGCTGCATGCTTTCTTTTCATAGGAACTAAACTTCATGAATGCAACCCACAGATTGCATGAACAACTACTGTGTATAGGCCTGATCTGCACATCTCCTGTCTCTTCTCTTTAAGGTACACCCAGGGCTGTCAGTGTAACTCACAAGTTCTTGGATATAAATGCAGATGAAACATCTTGGACTACTTACTACCTTTCAATTTTGGGATTCTCTACAATTTGTGACTTACTCCCACCACATGCAGAAACTCCCAACATTTTATTAAGCAGGAAAAAGTATATTTAAAAAACTACAGTTTATTTTTTAAGTGAGGAAAGACAATTGAAATATAAATGGAGAGATTGATCTTCTGTGAGGTAATGACATCCATCCTAAGATTCAGATGGAGCTCTCACTGGATTTGGCTAGTCTGGGTTGCTTTCAGCTATAGCATGTTTCCATTCATCAATATAAGGACTTAGCTCTTTGTTTTATATAATTACACCCTGAAGCCTGGCAAATTACTTACACCATTAAGGAATTCCACTTCTTGTCCTAAGGGAGTTGATATCCATTGACACTGATTGACAGCTACTGTTAATCCTGTACACAGTTAAATGCAGCAGCCTCCTGGACTGTTGAGGCTTTGCCATATGGGTATGTGGTTAAGGTCTTTCTTTGTATTGAGACGATCTTTTATTCTTACACTGGCAGGCAAGGATAACTTTGATTCCTGTGAAGTAAATACTCATTTTAGCAGCCTATCACCCTCTATTGTTTCCACTCTGGAATCAGCAATGCAGAGATGCTCTTTCAGTTCCATGTCTAGTGTGTTACACCGAGGCTCAAGGAAGTCTGCTTCCTAGAAGTCTGAGTGCAGGTAACAGAATGAGGGTTTCTGTGATATGATTTAATTGCTTTTCTGGCTGCTAGTGGCCCCTTTGATGTTTTCACAGTTTCTCATGTGGCCTTGGTGATTATGTGAGCTTCCTAATACCATTTTTTTTCCTTTGTGATTATTTATTCCATGTGGAACATCTCTCCTTTTGTCCCCCTTCCTTCTACTTCTTTCTTCCCTCTGCCCTTCTTTGGATAGTCCTTAGTCTTGAACTTGGGGGTCTCATGAATGGTAGCTCAGCATTGTAATTATTGACCTATACCCCCAGCCCATAGAGTCAACTTCTCTTGCTTACTGCTAGTATCTCTGACTCATTCAGATGTAAGTGCTAACCATAGGTCCTAACATGGAAATGCACCACAGACATTGTTGGGATGCAGGAAATTCTCACTTTCTAAAGCTTAATTGTGTATGTACCCTATAAGAGTACCCGAGTTGAGATTAATGACCCTAACGGTATCTGTGAAAATAAATTCTACTCATCACACCTTTAATAACATTTCCCATTATATATATTTTTTGAAAGAAATATCTTTTCTAAAATGTTCTTTTTTTCCTGATTCCTCAATTATACATGGGGTTTTCCTTGGAATACCTCAGGGCAGGAGTATCTTTTCAGTAACTAACTGTCTTGTGTCCCTGAACAGAAGCAGCAGGAGAATTGTAGAGTCAGGGCCAGATCTGGCAAGCTCTGGGGAGGCGTGCCTAGGGGAGTGGACATAGAGCTTCCTTTCAGGCTCCTTAGAAACCAGTGGGAACA